TACTCTCCACTAGATGTTGCCTACTTTGCTTTTGGACAGGTAACCAGAGTGGTAGCCAAAGTCATAGAGCTGATATGGATTGCTTAACTCAGTACCAATACATGTTTAATAGCTTATTTTTTTAAAGATTTATTTGTTTACACATATAAGTGGAACAGCAGGTGAGACAGGAGAGGTCTGCCATGCCATGTGGGTTGCTCCCTGGCTGGGGATCAAATTCATTCTGCGGTGGATGCAAACAGCTTCATAGTGCTGTGCTTATCCCCTTGTGCCACCAGGGAGGCTCAGTACTAATACATTTTCAAGCAACTTTTCTCCAGTAAAGAATTTCAGAAATTTGTAGCTATGCTGACTCATAGCCAAAAAGCTTGAACACCTAAGCCTTGATAACTGTCATATAGTGTTTGATAATATGCACAAGAGTTTACAAATGGTATTAGGAGAGTAAATGGTTTGGAAAAAGCACATCACCAAAATATCTGCAAAAATAAATAAAATACATATCCTACTAATATGCTATCTGTGTGGATGCAAGAACATATACCCTTGAACTTGCTGCATGGGGGTGTGTAAAGCAGGGCTCCTCCAGCATAGTGCTTTTGAGTTGCCTGTGAATCTTGTTACATTCTGATTCTCTTCAGAGACAGTTTTTGTTCAGTAGATCTAGGTGGGGCTGAACTTCTGCATCTGTCAACTCACAGATGATGCTAACACTCTTGGAGAATAACCACACTTTGAGTAGTGTGAGCCTAAAAGTCATAAAGGGTCCTTTTAAATCCAATATTACTCAACAAACTACTAGAGACTATTTTAAGCTCCAATACCAATTGGTATTACCAACCACACATCAACCTTTTTCTTTGAATTTAATGCCCCTAGCTAAATTTATCTTTACTGAGTATCTGAAAGGTTAAAATTACGAACACTGAAACTTTCTTCTTACATTTATGTGCTATGACAGTGGGATTATTATTTCATAGGAAAGTGCCTTCTGTCAAATTTTTGCTTGACTTGTTCATCTAAAGAGAGAGGCACAGAACAGAATGTTCTTATCTCTTTGTATCTTGTTATACAAAAAGCTGTTTCTGCAGAACTGAGGCTGGTGGCCAGGTGACTGGATAAACAGACTGTGGGGCTGCTCTATTATTGAATAGACTGGCCCTTCACTGGAATGGCCTGTACCACACAGCTGTGCAGTCTGACACAGGAGCTTTCCCACCTAAGGGCTTGGAAGCATGAGGTGAAGGTGCTGGAAAGGAGGTCACCTGCTCCCAAAGGAATGACTGGTTAAAAGTCAAGGCAGACTTGCAAGGCTAGGCTGGGTGCTGGGTGCTTAACAGAAGCTGTGTTCTCCACCAGGGAGACCTGTGGGCCACAGAGATTGGACACAGGAGTCACCAAACCGCATTCTGACTCAGTATGAGATTTTTTGTTTTAGTTTCACATATTCTCCAAGCTAATAAGTTCTCTTTCTTGCTTTTCAGAGGAGTAATTTCCATGGTCATTTTGAAAATGACAGAAACCCAGGCTGGAGAATACCTACTTTTTATCCAGAGTGAAGCTGTCAATTGCACAATATCGTTTACAGTGAGTATAAGAAGTAAGTGCAGCTTGTTACCATGTATTCAGAATATTCTAGAATTCATAAGTTTTGGTTTTTTTATCAGCTGCTCTAGACACATTTAGGTTTCTCCCCATTGATTGAATTCAGTAAATTGATTAAGTTCACTTTAACCATCCACATAACTTTTTGGGACTCTCTGACATGACTCATGATGTCAGAATGAGCATTCTTAAAAACCGAGACATCCTCTGCTCAGATCTTCCCCCACTTTATTTTTTCCAGCTAGTTTACAGAAAAGAAATGGAAAACATTCTGGCCTTGAACTCAAAATTTTAGTAGATCTATAAATTACATTTGGCAGGTCACTTAATCTCTCTGAGCCTCAATTTCCTTATCTGTACAAAGGGGATAAAAGTACATAGCTCACCTGGAAAAGATCATGCTTAGTGAGATAAGCCAGAAAGAGAAAGAAAAATACCGGATGGTTTCACTCATAGCAAGAGTATAATGGACCAGGCGAGAAAATAACAAAAATAACGAACAACCATATACCAGAGACATTCTGTGGGGGTGGAGTGGGGAATGGGATCAAAAACGGGTGGGGGGGAGGGAGGGAAATGCATGGGACTATGGTGGTGGCACAGGGGTGATTTGGTGATGGGAAACCCGCGGAGATTACAATCGAGATGGAAAAAAAAATGTGCAAAATGATGTAAAAATAAACTTTGTAATAAAAAAAAAATAAACCACTATCAATGTTAAAAAAAAAAAAGTACATAGCTCACAAGATTATAAGACCATAGCATTATCCAACAGAACTCTCTGACGATGAAAATATCTGTGTGTTCTGTCTGATATGATCATCATTGGTCACTTGTGACTGCTGATCATCAAAATGTGACCTGTGTGACTGAGGTATCAAAGTTTTTTTTTTTTTTTAAAGATTTATTTATTTATTCATACAGAACTGGGGTACAGGCCAGAGATGCGGAGGGTGAGAGGATTCACCAGAGACAGAGTGGGGCACAGAACAGGCAGATGGCCGAAGTACACTGCTGAGGGGAGCAGCGGGCGGGTCAGGAGAGGTCTGCCTCGCCATGTGGTCACCTCCGGGGTGGGCGGGGATCGAACTCATGCGGAATTGGCTTTAGTTTCTCAGTGCAGTGCTTTAACCCACTGCGCCACCAGGGAGGGCCCCTCAAAGTTTTAACTTTATTTAATTTTAACAAATTAAAAATTGAATTTAAGTAGTGATGTATAGCTAGTGGCTACTGTCCTAAATAAATGCCAGGCCACTAGGTAAACTATAAGGAATAATCCAATGGTTCTTACCTACCCAGCGAGATAACTGTGCAATTGGCCAAACCACCAACTAAATGTATCTTCTGGCTTCTGCTTGTTTCCCCAAGTTATGAAGCCTAAAGGTTGCACAGACTCAGTACCATCCATACGGACAGCTTTACCTTACTTGACAGACAGCTTTACCTTACTCGACAGACAAGGGCCAGAGGTGGGTGTATTCACTTAGGTCTAGCACTGTCGGGGGCCAAAGCAGTGCTCCAGAAACTCCAAATTTATGCCTTTTTAAAACAGGGCTGTGGTGTGTGTGCATCCAGCCTGCAGACATATCCCAGCTCAGTGATGACCACAACCACATTTTGGGGAGGTGTTTGCATATTTCTTCTCCAGTCATCTCAACCATCCTGCTTTCATTCACGTAGATGAGAAAATCACCTCGCCCAAAGGTTGTGGTCACAGGCATGAGGACCACAGCTTGAGGCTGAGTTAGGCAGGTCTACAGTTTCTGCATCACACAGGACTAGCTCTTGTGTGAGAATGCCTGGTCTTGCAGGGAGATCAGAAGCAGACGAGAGCACTGTGGCCAGCTAGAGTCCCAGAGGTTGTTTTATTATTATTATTAAGTTTTATTTATGCATACAGAATGGGGGTACAGGCCAGAGGTGAAGGGGCAGTGAGAGGATTCACCAGAGAGAGAGTGGGGAAGCAGGACAGGCAGATCAAGTGAAATACACTGCTGAAGAGCAGCAGGTGAGACAGGAGAGGCCTGCTGCACCATGTGGGTCACCTCCCTGGCAGGGGATGGAACTCGTGTTGAAGTGGCTGCTGATAGCTTCCCAGTGCTGCACTTTGACCAGGGAGGGCCCCAGAAGGTCTTTTTACTAGAACTGACGGTGGGATATTATTTCTAAATTCAGCCTGAAAGAGTAAAATCAGACAAAGTAAAAATTTGTCAGGATTTATTTTGAAACGCCCTTAACATACTTTAAAGTGTAAGACTGGAACCCTAGAAGCTCAACGGTCAGGAGCTTTGTTTCTTTGATTTCCATCTTCTTCCCTATCCTTTCCCCAGCTGCCTACCCTCCTCTATGTAAATAAGTCTGTGCTTCAGAATGGAAGAGATAAACGAATTCTGGCTTGCTGGACATTCTTTTTTTTTGTGTGTGCGCAATGTTTATAGTTGAATTTGTGTAAGTTAAGTGGGTATTTGCTGCATCTCAATTACACTTAGGGTATTTTCCTTTCACTTAAGATTTGCCATGTAAAAATATAAGTAACATGGTTTTGACATTCTGCTGGGTGGTGGGGTTCAAAAAATCAGGGTTGAGGGAGACTTGGCAGAGGTCAAAACGAAAAAAGGAAAGGTTTCGTAAACCAAAAGTCCAGTATTAGCCAACAGTATAGCAAGGTGGCTTACAAGGAAATCTGAACCCTGGCAGCTTCCATGAAAACAAAATGTCTATATATATATATAGAACAGAAAATAGAAAGCTTCCACTAATTTCATAAATATATATATATATGTGTGTGTGTGTGTATATATATATATACAACTTCCTTCCTATATATATATATATATATATATATATATATATTTGCTATATATATATATTTTTTATAGTAGAACTGAGATGCAGGCCAGAGTGTGTCAGGGAAGGTATGAGAACATTCACCAGAAACAAAGTGGGGAACAGAAAAGGCAGGTTTAATGAACTACACTGCTAAGAGGAGCAGCATGCGAAACAAGAGAGGTGTGCTGTGACATGTGGGTCAGCTCCCTGGACAGGGATCACACTCGGGCAGTAGAAGTAACAGCACTGAGACTTAACCCCTAGGCCACCAGGGTGGGTCCTTTATATTTTTTCTCAGGTGAATATTGACAAAGCAGAACAACCAGAATCATGACAAACTTGAAATTCTTTAAATTAGGAGCAGATGAAGGCACTGAGAATATTTAGCATAGAGAAAAAAATAGAGTATTTTGAGGAGAAGAAAGATAGCTTACTGTGTAATGTGGAGAAAATTCTTCTGGTATGAGTCAGGAAATCTGGACTAACTAGTTAAAATATTTTGGATGATAATTATCTCCCTTGACCATAATTTCTCATTTTAAATCTTTGAAAAAAATTCATGTGGAAGCAAGTTATATTTTAAAAAAGAATTTCTCTAGGAGATGAAAGAGACCAATGGTTTAAAATTGCAAGGAGAAAACTAAAAGCCACCACAAAGTGGGAAACGATATTTGCAATTTACATAATCAACAAAGGTCTAATAGTCTAAATAGTCAATAAGCATATTTAATCTATAATTTTAAAATGCCATTTAGACCCACAGTGATATACAACTTTATATCCACTAGATTGTGTTGAAAATTTAAAAATTTTGGTGAGTCTCTACATTAATGGGAAACCTTAGGCCCTACTCAATATAACCACATTGGAAACCAGACTGTCATCATTTGTGAAGCTAAGACCATGTAAACCAGCAGTTCTCCTCCTAGGTATATTGTTAAACTTATATACCTATATCAAAAGGAATATGTAGAATATTCATAGCACCATTGTAGCAAAAAATTGGCAACAACCCAAATGACTGCTGCAAGAAAATGTAACAACAGATTGCTGTATGTGCACACCAAGGGACTACTATGTGATCATTAAAATTTTTAAAAAAGCATGGAAGTATTGCAACATGAAAACTATGGGTGATTTTTATTATTTAAAAACTTATTTATTTAAATATATTTATATATTTAACATTATTGTTCTTTTTTTTTCTCACAATGTTTGTTTTCTTTTCTCAGGTATAGTCCCCATAGAATTTCTACCATCAATTCACCTGTGCTCCATCACCATAGTCCCTTTCCCTGGTCCTTTATTTAGTTCCCCTACTTGCCTTCTATAAGTGAAATCATCTGATAGTTTTCTTTTTTTCCTTTTGGCGTATTTCACTGTGCATACTCCCTTCAAGCTCCATCCATGTTGTTAATTTTTTTGATTGCTGAATAGTACTCCATAATGTATATATACCATATCTTCTTGATCCAGTCATCTGTTTTTGGACAATTGTGTTGGTTCCAAGTCTTGCCTATTATAAATAGTGCTACAGTAAGCATAGGGGTGCAGGTATCCTTTTGAATTAGTGTTTTTGTGACCTTTGGGTAGATTCCTAGGAGTTGAATTGTTGGGTCATCTGGGAGCCCCATTTTTACTAGTCTGAGGAATATGCATATTGCTTTCCATAGTGACTGAACCAGTTTGCATTCCCACTATCAGTGATTTTTTAAAACTTTAGTTGGATGGGAAAATGTACTTTTGAAAGACATGTTTAGTAATATACACATTGCTATGTGGTAAAAAGATTTTTTAAAGCATGGGAATGACAAACACAAAATTTAGGGTAAAAGTTATCTAAGATTGAGGTGAGGAGAAACATTACTACATTTAAAGGGATATGTTAATATTCCAGTTATTGAGCTCAATATGGGTTCATGGGCATTTTGTTTTATTATTAAAACTCCCAAAACTGTATTTCACAAATTATTTTATGCATGTATGTGTATGTAAATACATATACATTTACACATACACAGATATATCATGATATTTGTAAACAAATTTATTATAAGGAGGGAGTTTGGAATTCAAGATAGGAAAACTTTCTTTAAAGAGGAAATTGCTTTAAAAAGAATCTTGGGAGAAAATAAAAGGTGGCGGCAGAGTAAAGACACCGAGATCACTGTGTCCAGGCTCGCGGAGGAATTTAGGACTGAAAATAGACTATAGACTTACATACTACGAGTTTCAACCCAAATGAAAACACCCTGGACTCACTAGAAGAAAGATAACTGAGGGAGAATTGGCGATTGGGGAGTTCCGATAAGAGAACTCCCCTCCTCCACCCCGGGAGGGCTCAGGCGCCTGGAAGTTCGGCGGGCTGGGCTGCAGGAGCTGCTTTACCCCTTGCTAAAGCCCTGGAGGTGAAGGGAGAAGTCTCAGCTCAGTGAGTGGAGCCCAGGCTGAGGAAAGACTGCAGATCCAATCCGGATCACCTGGGCGCTGCCCAAAGCCGTTGACAGACCAGCTTGACCAGCTCGAGAGTGGGTAAGATGGTAGCAGAGTAAAGACTCCGAGATGACTATATCCAGGCTCGCACAGGAATATATAAAAACAGACTATAGACTTACACACTACAAGTTTCAACCCAAATGAGAACACCCTGGACTCACTAAAAGGAAGATAACTGAGGGAGAATCAGCAATTGGGGAGTTCCATGATGGGGGTGGCTGCAAGGCTTACAACCCTTTCACTCACCCCCACAGCATAGGCCTGGAGGTTTGTTCCCACCCAGCATTAGTCACTAAGGCAGGGCCAGCAAGTTCACAAAGCCCCTGAGATAAAAGGGAGCAAAAAAAAAAAATACTTAGACTGAATCAAAACAGACCCATTAACACTCCCCCAAGTGATAGAGAAAGACTGCTCATGGAGAGATGGCTCTGAGTGGGCACAAAGAGCCCTGGAGGCCTAGAGGGAGGACTGACAGTCTGCACAACTGTGGGGTGTGCAGAATTAGGACTCAAGGTGTTACTGAACAGCAGTGGCCAGAAGACATGTGAGCCAGGAAGGCACTGCCTTGCAAGGCTCACTGTGCTCAAAAAATACACAAAACCAGTGACTGGCTCAACCACAGGCCCAGCTGCAACATTTCTAATGCACCCCACCCTCTGGTGCTACATCCAAGCATAGAAGGAACCTGGGACATCAGAAGTCTACAAAGATCAACAGGCCCTAGCAGAGACAAGGACTCAACGAGTTACCAGAAGAAGCTGAACACCACAAGAGACCCCTGAGCGTCACTGGCAGAGACAACAGACATAATTCCACACAGTAGGGGCTGGAAAAACAGGAGATATTGAAACAAAACAAGGCTCAGAATACCCTCCACAACTGCAGTGTCTGGAAGTCCCTCTGCCATCCCATAAAGAACAGCCAGAAAAAAATGCCAGTCAATAACAGCAACACTGTCTCAACGAATAGAAAGTATTAGAAAATACATGACAGGGAAAAGAAGACAAACAAATATTCAAGCAAGTCCACAGGGGGGAAATTCATCACAAAAAGATCATTCAGCAAAAACCACCAAAGAAATAGAAGAACTGCTCAGCCTACCAGATAGAGAATTCAGAATCATCATGATAAACAAACAAAAAAAAGATGAGAAGATGAGAAGGAAAAAAATGAAATGAGGCAAACCATCAAGGAGTTGAAGAATGCAAACAAGGAAATGAATGAGAGAAATGAAAAAGACATGAGACAATCAATCAACGGACTGAAGAAAGAAAATGAGATGTTAAAAAAGGAAATAGAAGAATTCCAGGAGATGAAAAGGCCACTAGAGGAGATAAATAATATGAAATAATGAAAACAGAATAGATGAAATGGAAGAACGAATCAGCACCCTCAAAGACACAGAAACAAAGAGAAGTAAAAAAGAAAAAGAAATAAAAAGGAAAAGGAATGAAGAAACACTTCAAGAGCTATCTGACACCATTAGGAAAGGAAATATCAGAGTTACAAGTATCCCAGAAGGTGAAGAGATAGGCCAAAGAATAGAGAAAATATTCACAGAGATAATAGAAGAGAACTTCCCTAATATGAAGGAGACGAAAGTAGACATCCAAAAAGCAAGAATAACACCAAACTACCATGATGACAGGAGAAATACAGCAAGACACATTATAAAAAAATTCTAAGAATACAAGACAAGGAAAAGATAATGAGAATGTCAAGAGGGAAGAAACAAATAACCTATAAAAAGAATCTCTCCTTGGGAGTTAGTGAACTCTTTTCCTTAGGAGGGTCCAGGTAGAAGCAGAAAGAAAGTTTAGGTTAAGCAGCATAGGAGTGAAAGTGGAGGGGAGGAGTGAGGCATAATGTTCTAACCTGCACAGGAGGCCAAACTGAACTCTAAATTCTGTTCTACCCTCTCCTGGTGTATCTCTGCATTTCTAAATCAGTACATTCTTGCCTATGTCCAGATAAAATTATGGGAGAGAATTTGAGTTTCAAGCAATATAAGTATGAGTTTTAAACTTTGTAATTTTTGATCCTCCAAAGAAATGTTCTTATTCACAGACCCTGTGAATATATTAACTTAGCAAAAGGGGTTTTGCAGAAATGATTCAGAATCTTGAAACAGGAGCCTCCCTGGTGGGGCAACAGGTTAAGCCAAAGCCCTATGAAGCTACCTATACTCCCTGTAGCTTGAGTTCAATCCCCGGCCCCAGAGGTGACCCACATGGCACAGCAGACCTCTCCTGCCTCACCAGCTGCTCCCTTCAGCAGTGTATTTCAGTACATCTGCCCATTCTATTCCCCATTCTGGTTTTGGTGATGTCACTGATGCTCCTGCTCCTCTGGCCTGTACCCCAGCTCTTGTATGCATGAATAAATAAATCTTTTTAAAAAAATAGAATCTTGAGACGGGAGATTATCCTAAATTAGGCCATTGAGCTCAATGCATACAAAATGGTACTAGCAAGGGAAAGACGGGGGTGGAGAATCAGTGAATGGGGGAGATGTGACAGAAGCAGTGGTCATAGTGAGCTGAGTAGGAGGCTATGAGCCAGGAAATTCACAAATCAACTTGGAAAGTAGAAGAAGCAAAGATGGTTTTGAGTTGTAGTGGAGGAGCTTCTAGACAAAAATAGAATAAACTTTGTTAATTTAAATTTGCTTTTTCCTGTGCATGTCAATATTTCTATTTTTACATGACTTTGCTCTACTTGGTTGTATATAGATCTGTGAAATAGCCCCCAATTAGCAGTAAGTGTTAAATTTAGTTGATTTTAATGTTTTGATGAAGAGGGACTATATTATTAAAGCATGATCCCTTCCAGCTTCATCCATGTTGCTGCAAAAGGCATGAGTTTATCTTCTTTGATTGCTGAGTCATGTTCTATTGAGTATATGTGCCACCTCTTTTTAATCCAGTCATCTACTTTTGGGCATTTGGGTTGATTCCATGTTGCAAAGACCATTATTTTTATAATTTTAAAATGTCAATAATTTGTGATGCTCTAGGTACACTGCTTTATACATTAAGGAGACCTTACTTCAGAAAAATGGAAAATCAGGATGCCTTGGTCTGCATATCTGAAAGCATTCCAGAACCAACTGTAGAATGGGTATTTTGTGATTCACAGAGTGAAAGGTAGGCATGTGGTCAAGAGAACTGCTATGTTAACTTCACATTTTGGGTCTTTTTCTAATACAGTTAACATCACATCAAAAGCATGATGTATCATTGTTAGAACAGGAGCATTTGGTTTCTAAAAGAGTGACTAGTATAGACCACAGGGAGGTGAAGGGAACTTTTTAGTCAGTCCTTCAACTGGGGACCCATCCTGAATGTTCTACTACACAAATAAGAGACTTTTAAAATTACAGGACAGTTTCCTACGCATTGGCTGGGGAAAAAAGAAAGGAACTGGTTTTAGCTTATAATTCCCCAGAAGTAAGAAATTCTCTATAGATAAATATTTCAGTTGTGGTTATTGTGTTTATTTGGAGAAAGCAGTTTAAATGTGCTTGTGTAAAGATACAGAATCTAGCCTTGGTTTGAAGCCAAGTGTGCTTTTCATCTGTGTGGCCCTGAGCAAGCTACCTGATCTGTCCTTGCTGCATCAGAAGAAAAGGAAGGATACACTATTTTTACCTTGTAAGTTTGAGCTGACAATTAGATGGATTAGTATATGTGAAGCACATAGAACCATGTCTGGCAGGAAAAAAAAAAGTTTGCTTTTTCATTTGTATCATAGCTAAGTTCTCACAAAGTAAGAATTCATGCAATTTGAATTAACTAAAATTACTAAACAACCTTCTTTAAAAAATGGGACTAAGTAGATGGTAAAAAAGCAAAATATCAGGTTACAACGATATGAGTGTGACACCAAATTTTAGAGGAAAAAGCACTGTAGATACATGTGTAATGTGTGCGTAGAAAACAAAATGAAAGGTTGGAAAACTTCCTAATAAAATAGTAACAGTTGTTTCAGAGTGGTAGAAAGAGGAGTTATTTAAAATCCTTTGAATTTTTCTGTTCTCCAAAATTTTGCAACAAAAATTACTGCTTTCTTATAACAGTGATAATGATAATAATAAACCTCAAGGAATGATGCATAACCAAACAAAAAAAGAATACACTGGACTGAAATAACAAATAGGAGCAGAGGGGTTCTGGAGACGTGGGTTCTGCTGAGGCTGAGAGGGAGGGGCTCTGACGAGTCCTGCATGTGGCCAATTTCCTGAGAGTGACCCCTGCACTGTCCTCCTCGGCAGGCTTACTTACACTCTCACCCTCTCACTATTGTCCTCTCCTGTCTTGGTGGAGAAGATGCCTACCTTGTTCAGTATATTTCACCTAATCCAGTTTCCCTTTTCCCGCCTTCTCTTCCTCCCCCACCCTCCACTCCTCTCTTCTTTCTCAATTCTTTTTTCATGCTCTTTAAAAAAATAGCAGCAAAAACAAAAGAGGTCACCAAACACAATTTTAAAGTGGTTTGCTGTGTAATTCTCTCTAATGTTATTCTAATTGTTGAGATAACTAGTAACTAAGTCATTATCCTCTGAACTCTTCCCTGAAACCATAGATTTACGTTAATTTAACTGTGACCTGCTTTTTTCGTTGTGCTCTAAAACAAGCTCTAGAACATTAAATTTTGTTTTTCTTCAAAACAGTCTCTTGAAATTTTAAAACACACTTATTTGTTTTCTAATTGTAGCTGTAAAGGAGAAAGTCCGGCTGTTGTTACAAAGGAAGAGAGTGTTCTTCATGAATTATTTGGAACAGACATAAGGTGTTGTGCAAAAAATGAGCTGGGCAGGGAATGTACCAAGCTCTTCACAATAGGTGAGACCATAGTATTATGTGTTTCGGTTGTTGGTATATTCTTCTTATTCTGTAGTTAGGGCTACAATGGCTGCATCTGTACTGAGCTTGTACAGATTACCATTATCCCCTAAGTGATACAGTGCGACAACAGTTGCTATAGCACTTACTTTGTATTAGGTATTATAAGTAATCTAGATGTGATGGATATAGGATGATGGCGTAGGTCATGTGCAAATTCTATACCATTTCATATAAGGGACTTCAACATCCATGATTTTTTGGAAAAGATTTATTTATTTATGCATACAAAACTGGAGTATAGGCCAGAGGTACAGAGGTGGTGAGAGGATTCACCAGAGACAGAGTGGGGAGCAGAACAGGGAGAGCAACGAATTATACTGTTGAGGGGAACTGCAGGTGGATCAGGAAAGGTCTGCTGCGCCATGTGGGTCACTTCAGGACGGGGATCGAACTCATGCTTCAGCGACTTTAGCTTCTTAGTGCTGTGCTTTAACCCACTACACCACCAGGTAGGGCCTGATTTTGTGTGTGTGTGTGTGTGTGTCCATGGGAGTCTAAACCAATCCCCCATGGGTAATACAGAGGACTGTCTGTAGTTTCTTTATACCATTTTATTTATTTTTATTAATTTATTAATTTATATTTTACATCTTTTTTTCTTTACTGTATTTGCTTTCTTTTCTTTTTATCTTTTTTAAGTATTTACTTACTCATTTATGCATACAGAACTGAGGTACAGGAGTGGTGAGAGGCGTTACTAGAGACAGAGTAGGGAGCAGAACAGGCAGATTGATGAAGTACTGAAAGCAGAAGTTAGTGAAACAGAAGAGGTCTGCTGTTGCCATGTGGGTCACTTCTGTGGTTGGGGATCGAACTCGCTGTGAAGCAGCTGCAGTGAGCTTTGTACAGCACTTTTACCGGTTGTACTACCAGAGAGGGCTATATTTATACCATTTAATGTAATATAGATTCCGCAACTCATTTCTTCATGAAAGAGTTGAGAGTCTCTAAAAGATTCTTTTATTAAAGTGGTTAGTGACATTTGCGAGGATATGAAAATCTTTGTTTTTCAGAGTATTTGGAGTATATTTATTGATGAGGAAAAAAATCAATTTTTTCTTACTTAATATGTTTTCATCTTCTAGATCTAAACCAAACTCCTCAGACTACACTGCCACAGTTATTTCTTAAGGTAGGAGAACCCTTATGGATAAGGTGTAAAGCTGTTCATGTAAACCATGGATTTGGGCTCTCTTGGGAATTAGAAAACAAAGCCCTGGAAAAGGTAAGATGTTAAGTTTTGTTCTGAAAATGCAGAACAGTGACTTAATAGTCCAAGTTGAGATCATTAAAGTCAAACTCTGTTTTATTGAAATCTAGGGCAGCTACTTTGAGATGAGTACCTATTCCACAAACAGAACTATGATACGGATTCTGTTTGCTTTTGTATCATCAGTGGGAAGAAATGACACTGGATTTTATACTTGTTCCTCTTCAGAGCATCCCAGTAAATCAGCTTTGGTTACCATCCTAGGTAATGCAGGCTCTCAGATAATGTATATTTTATTTTATTTTTTTATTGTTTTAGTGTGGAATGTGAGGTACGTACTATAAATTCTGGCTTCAATATAACATTAGGAAAAAAAAAACCTGAGAAAGAAAGTGAAGTAGAATAGTTTTGTGCACAAAATCTGCCCACTCCCTTCCTTTCCAATTAAACCAGGCCTGCTTGGATGCCATTCTATGCACAGACCATATTATAATGTGACCATCCACTTGTGAATGTCTGTGTTCCAACAGACTGCAAGTTTCCTAAGGACAGGGCCAATCCTTTTTACACTTGTAGTCCCAGAACCTGGCAGAGAGCCTGACAAAATAGACTTTTT